ATAAAATTACCTAAATTAACACTTTAATTTACTTTACACAAATTAAATCTTAAAACACCAATAATTAAACACACTAATTCACTTTATTCCGCTCCGAAGCTCCGCTTGTCTCGCCAAATCCAATACTGCCCCGATCGCATCTTGCAGCGCCTATATATACAAATTAGCAATGAAGCATCCGGAATATTCAAGTAAATGCGCGCAAAGCGACGAGTGTTCGAGTGTAGATTTTCTAGAAAACTTAGTTCTTCGGTTTGAGACTAGATGGCGCTAGTGCCGTCGACTTGAACGCGTAACAGTCATTTTTTTTTATTGATCCACCAACATTTGCATCATTCCTTACATGCTATTTAAATACAATGACGCGATAAGGACTAAAATGTACAAATAATTACAGGCGGATACAACATGCAAATAACTTTCTCAGCACTGTGTACCTCTATTACTGAGAAAAAGAAAGAATTAAAAATTAAGAAATTATAACTAAATACAAATAAAAATATATAGAAGCGAAAAGGAAAGAACATATTTTATAGAATGTTACAAAAGATGGTATCTTAAGGTGCGACGGAGCTTGTTAGGTGGGTCGAAAAATATATCAATTTTATGTCTAAATTTGTTAACAAGTTTACTCAATCTAGCAATTGGGGAATTGGAGCCAAACACTGTTCTTCTACATGGTCTAGTCAATGGTGTAATCTTACGAGCGTAGCGCGGGTAACGAAAGGGAACGCATATATTAAATTTACTTAAAATTTCAGGACAGTCAATAACACCACTAATAATTTTAGAAGCAAAAATCAAATCAATAATATCCCCGCGGTTTTCAAGAGAAATCATTTTGAAATTGATCAAATTATTTTCATATGATACACGCTTCTTATTACTTCTAAATCCGCTTGCGTATGACAAATGTCTTATAAATCTTTTTTGGATCCCCTCGATTCTCAGTGAATGTGTTGCGTAATGAGGTTTCCAGACTACAGCACTGTACTCTAATATACTTCTTACCAAACTGTTAAATAAAAGAATTTTAATTTTAGCATTTCGAAAGACTTTGATATATCTTATGACAAAACCCAACATTCTAGATGCACGTTTAGTAATGTTTTCAATGTGCGGTACGAAAGTTAATTTTTTATCAAATATGACCCCGAGGTCCCTAATTTCGTCTAACTACTGTATTTTATTACATCCAATGTGATAGCTATAGTCGATAGTGTTACTTTTTCTCGCATATTGCACATAGAAACATTTACTAATGTTTAAGTCCATACGATTTACTTTGCACCATTTAATCAGTTGATCAAAATCGTTCTGTAGCTTTATTGAATCGTTCTCTTCCACAATCGTCTTGCAAATTTTTAAGTCATCCGCATACAAGTACACACGAGACCATTTCATCAATTCTGGAATTTCATTTACGAACACCCCAAACAGAATCGGTCCAAGGTGAGACCCTTGGGGCACACCAGAATTAATATTTTTTAAGCCTGACTGATATCCATTCACCACCACAAAAAACGCTCGGTCCTTTAAATACGATTTTAACCATTTTAACATACTACCAGTAATGCCGTAGGCTGCTAATTTACGAACCAATATGTCATGTGGGACCCGATCAAATGCTTTGCTAAGATCAGTATATATTACGTCGACTTGTTTCCCCGCATCAAGTGCTTCAATTAGTATTTCCGTAATATGTACCAAATTAGTGCTCGTAGACCTAGATTTAACGAACCCATGTTGGCTAGTGGTTAAGTAAAGATTGATATGTCTCTGAATATAAGGACAAATAATTGACTCTAATAATTTAGCAAAGACTGATAATATAGAGATCGGCCTGTAATTTCTTCATAATCCTCACTGCCCGTTTTATGAACCGGAACGATTTTAGCTATTTTCCATAGAGTAGGAAATTGCCCAGTACAAAGAGAAAAATTGAATATAATTAATAGTGGATTAACAAGGTGATCAGCACATCTGACTACAAACACTGGAGGGATTCCATCAGGACCTGCACCTTTATTACATTTAATGCTTTTTAATTTATTTAATAGGGTATCATGATCAATTTTCAGCTGTGCTAGGTGAAGGCTATTAATTTACAATTAATTTCAAGGACTCTGAATGGTCATAAACATAATCCTGCTCTGTACATTTAGTATTTTCAGAGTACACGGATGAAAAGTGTGAAGAAAAAAGTTCGCAAGTTTCCACTCCATCAGAAGTTACCGTCGTACCGTCAGTCATTGATAGGGGATAGGCGCCTGAACCACCACGTTTCGCCTTGACAAAGGACCAAAACAGTTTTGGGTTTTTTGCTATGTCACACTCTATTAGTTTTATATATTTGTTGTAGCAATTTGTGGCCATTTGCGTACATCTTTTACTTAGCAATTGCAGTTCAAGCTCATCTCTAGGATTTTTATATTTCTTGTGACGACACCTAACTTTATACCTTTCTTTTAGAGTTCTAATTAGATTCCGATCAAACCAAGGTGGGTAGTTGTTGTTCTTTGACGATTTGTTGGGGACAAATTTTTTGATAATATCCCGAATTTTCTGGTAGAAAATTTGTAGCATATTATTTACATCTGTCAACCCATCAAGTAGCTTGACCCAATCACAACTCGCTAATTCTTTACAAATACTATCATAGTCAGCTCTATAAAAATTTAATTGTACGTTTTCAGTGTTATAAGGTAATCTTATTTCATTTAATAGCTTAATACTTATGTCAAGAGGAGGATAGTGCCTGTCAACTTTACTGAGGGGGCAAAGTGCCTGTTCTACTGTGCAGTTTGGTAAATTTGCAATAACCAAATCAAGTGTTCTATTTAAACTCTGATTCTTTATACGACTGTACTGCTTCAAATCATTGACGTTTAAAAAATCAATAAATGACTGACTAACAGTGGAAAGCTCGAATTTCGCAGAATCCTCATCTAACAAGCTCCAATTTATGGAAAATAGATTAAAATCACCCACTATACAATGTAGACACTTCTCTTCCAGGGCGCTAGTACATGTGTCATAAAATTTATCATAAGTTACACTTTTTACAGGAGATGGTAAATAAATGGCACAGAAAGCAATTTGATAAATTGAGTGTGAAACTGGCGCTTCGACTAAAACCCATAAATCCTCCAGATCCGACTCCCAAGCTTTTAAATGCTTTGATTTTAATTTCCTAGATACTGCTATTAAAACCCCCCCTCCCTCTTTCTTAGTACTACTGGCAGAAGATCTATCTCTTCTATATACTACATATCTAGGGTCAAAAAGTTCACTACTCGAAACAGAATCATTTAGCCAGGTCTCAGTGATTATTATTATTTCATAGTTGTTACATAGTATTTGATTATAGAAACCATGTGTTTTGGTCTTAAGACCACTACAATTTTGATAGTACAATTTTAGCGTATCGTATTTTATTAAAAACCTTACCATATAACAGACAATAAGAAAGAAAGGAACAAAAAGAATTACTTAAATAAGTTTTTTTTAGAGTTTCTAAACTTTTTTACCAGAATATAGTCACTCTCATCGGTCTTCCTCATAAATATTCTGCCATTACGCACCCACACATATTTATATCCGCTCTCCTTTGCTTTGAGTCTAGCCGCCGCATGAATAGCCTTATTCACTGGGGATAGATGTTCAGTTACAAAAACAGGAGTGGTGTGTCCTATTAATCCAAGATGTGTAGCATTAAGTCTGTTTTGTGAGTTCACCTTGTTGTATTTTGAGGCCATCGCCAGCATTTCATCGCGAATCCTAGGTGAAGCTAGATGCACTATTATAGATCTTGGACGCTTGGATTCGCGATTCATTTTGGCAGTGCGTGTACAATTTAGAATGTCCTTTTTATTTAGAGAGCTACCAATGACTTCACTCAACTTTGTTATTATTGTTTTAAGATTTTTATTTCTTGACTCAGGAACGTTCTGGAGTTCTAAATTACATTGACGGGAGTGTTGTTCTATTTGATTTACTCTCTGAGCTAATGCATGTACAGTTCCTTTCAGTTCTGCATTCTCTTTCTCCAAAGTTGTTACTTTTAGTTTAGAGGCTTCATTTTCTTTCTTTATGCCTTCATACTGATCATTAATGAATGTTAAAGAATCCTTAATACTCGACAATTCATCTCTCATTGGTTTAATTTCCTTCGCGAAGAATCCAACCAAGTTTTCATTAAATCTTTTAAATAGATCGTTCATTTTATCATCCATCACACCTTCTACCACTTGACGGATGTCTTCCATAGAAATGTTCACTTTTTCGAGATCAGACTGTGGCGATCCAATGGCTATTCTTTTGTTTCCTCTTACGGTACTGACATTTCTCACAGGTGTATTATCTTTATTTGCCGTTTTTAGTTACATTCAGAGGTAATAATTTTACGATCAATTATCATACATGCATAATGATATTTTCTTTCACATTTAACGGAAACAATAAATTCGTCACAGTTATCATTTTCGGAAAAGCAACAGCCCCAATTTGCATTAGACATCATAAATCCACTCAAATATAATTAGGTTACGATCAAAAGCCATACGATCTTGTACTCGTGGATGCAAATTATTTATTATAATATTTTTTGTTATTGCACGGAATTATCGCTCTACTATCAGTATTACCTTATCAGTACTCGGTCGGGCGATGCATTACAAACTAGCCGGGCGTATGCGACTATTAACAGTCTACAGTCCGAGTAAGATCGCAGTTTGCGTATCAGGGAGCTCAGCGCACCGGCACTCACAATTATTCCTCTACCGCTCAATGTAAACAAAAACAAACGATTTCAACTTTTCTTTGTTTAAATATACTTTAAGACTAGGTTTTCTTGAGAATTTTATATCACAACACAACCTTTACGCACTATAATTACGAGATCTTATGCATACTAACTTTAAAAGTGATTAAAAACTTTCGAAACAAAATATTACTTAGGGAGCACGACTACCGAGCTGCTTCTATGAGTACAGTATTACCATATCGTCGAGGTAGTCCGGCAGGCGGCCGATGGGGTTGTTGGTGTGCACGAAGAAGTGCGGCGAGCGGCGCGCCAGCAGCCGCAACGCGCGCCAGCCCCAGCCGCCCGCCCGCCGCGCCCCCCCCACCCGTACCACCGCCCCCCACCATGTACTCCTCTGCGACACCACACCATTCTTGTTACTCATGTGGTAGCCATGCTACACTTACATTATGATTGTTGCACGTACTAGTCGACTCGACCGGGGAAGTACGCTTTCACAGAATAAAAATAACAGCTTAATGCTGTTATGTTTCGTATGGTGAGCGTAGAAAACCGGAGACCCTTTTAACTGGAAACGAGGCATTCCATCTCAGTCCTCAGGGGTGACTAAGCATCGGCATTTTTTTTTCTTCATCGAAGATAGATATATTTTCTATAAAACTCTACTGATTAATGTAGACCTCCCCTAATAATTGCCTCATAGGGAGGATTTTGCCATAGTTACCAGGCTGACAACCGCAAGTATTTTTTTAAATTTTGATTTGTTTTGCTGCTGCCTTTCTCTTTCTTTGATACTTTTTCGATTTTTTTGTATACTTACTTTGTTTAAATTTATTCTGATAACCATTAATTATTACACTAATAGTTACACTACTAACTACTTTAATATTTTTTGATATAATTAATGTAATGTACATATTTCTGGTTTTCATAAATAAATAACATATTCACATGTCTTCGAAATATTGTTTTTTTTCTTATTTCTCAGAGATACAAGTTTCCTCACGACGTTAAACTTCATCGTCGAACACGTGATAAATCAGCACTTCAAATTTCATTAGCGCTGGCAGGGGACAATACATACATATAGAATACTTTAATACATCAAATATATCCCACTGCACAAAGTGTTGAACTATGCATGAAAGAGAAAATCTACGTCTATGCATAAAGTGTAGGAATATGCTTCTATATATAAAATAAATTAAACAACACTCAAAAATTGCAAGAATGAATAAAGAATTTTGAAGTCTTAAGTACAGAATACAATTCTAAATTACGTAAGCATAGGGTGTTGTACTAAATGAAATTTATAGCTATTATACTACTTCACATACTCTTAAATTAAACTTTAAGTACTTTAATATTTAAAAAGTAAATGTGAGGCTTTTGTTTTTGAAATAATAATAGTTATTACGGAATTTATCGCGTATATTTAACTTTTTAATTACCCGACGTTTCGAGAGCTTTACAGCACCCATGGTCACGGGAAGGACTGAGATGTTCAACGTCCAGCTGTCATAGTTAACCGCGGTTACCATAGATTAAAATTTAACTTTTGTTCCGATCTACACAGTATGAACTTATGGTATCATGGAGTCTTGCAGTTGTATGCTTGGGTTGGGATTTAATTTTATTTATTATAGGATCCCAAGCAGATGGTAGCACCCAGCCATCTTCTCTATTGAAATTAGGATGTTTTTTGATTTCAATAGCCTCGCGAATCATCCTTGGAAGGAATCGGTGTTCTTTAGCGAGGATTTGTGGTCTATCAAATCTGATGTAGTGACGGGGGGCGATCCTGTACATGTTCACAGACTGCAGACTTCCCGGAGCGTCGATTCTTCACATCAGCTATATGTTCTTTGACGCGGGTTTTAATGGATCTTTTAGTTTGTCCTATGTAGGAGAGACCACATTCACAATCAAGCTTGTATACTCCTGCATCTTGCAGAGGGACATTACACTTGACCGATGGTAAAAACTGACCAATCTTCTTTAGCGGCTTGAAGTATGTTTTGATGGAAGCGCGCTTCAAGATGTAGCCAATCTTGTCAGTGACTCCTCTAACATATGGCAGTACAGCAGGTACACGCTCGACTGTGGCCGGCTTCACTCGTTCTCTGTGACGTAGGCGCGGGACCCGAAGCTTGTTGTCATGCAAAACTTGCTTGACATGTTGGAGCTCGGCAGCCAGGTGTTTACTGTCACAGATCCCTCGTGCTCTCTGAAACAAAGATTTACCCACGGTAGCTAACTGTGAAGGATGGTGGTGAGAATCACCGTTTAAATATCTATCTGTATGGGTCTTTTTTCTATACACAGTATGGCTCAAGGTGTTATCAGGATTCCGAATTACTAACACATCTAGAAAAGCTAAGGAATTGTTTGCCTCTAACTCCATTGTGAACTGAATTTTAGAATTTATAGAGTTAAGATGGTCTAAAAATGCAGTTACTTTATCTAAAGGTAGAATTGTGAAAGTGTCGTCTACGTACCGCTTGTAGAAACTTGGATTTATGGGAGAAGTAAGCAGGGCTTTCTCCTCAAAGTCTTCCATGAATATGTCGGCGACAATGGGAGATACAGGTGAGCCCATCGCCACACCATCTACTTGCTATGTAGAACTCCTTCCACAATAGGTAGCCAGATGTAAGGCAGTGTCTGAGTAATACTGCATATTCTACGGGCATGTTGTTTTCTTCCAGCCTTCTAGTTACAATTGAGATGCAGTCTTCAACAGGTAAGCATGTAAACAATGACTGCACATCAAAACTGACCATAGTTTCATTGTCTGCCAGACGTAGGTCTTTAATCTCGCTGACAAAATGGTAGGAATCCTTTATGTGTGCTCTTGTATGTCCCCTGAGCGGTGAGAGTATTTTCGCTAAGTGTTGAGCCAATCTGTAAGTTGGTGAATCGATTTGGCTCACTATGGGGCGTAATGGAGCATTGGGCTTGTGTATTTTTGGTAACCCATACAACTTTGGTGATTTGGCGCACGTAGGTATTATCCATTTTACGTCCAGATTTAATTTTTCGGAGTGTTTCTTTATGAGGTCACTAGTTGTTTTTAGTGTGCTATTTGTTGGGTCGTTTTTAACCTTTTTATAAGTACTTACATCCGACAAAAGTTCTTGTATTTTAGAATTATAATCTGACGTATCCATGACTACCGTGGCGTTTCCCTTATCTGCGCGGAGAATCGTAAATATAACGAATGCAAAAACAAACATATAGAAAAATATCAAAAATTAACGGCCAAATCAAATGTCAAACATCCGAATCAATGCCAGAACCAAAAGCAACCATTGACAAACACAGATCATAGATTAATCGCGTTCTATAATCTGTCAAAACAAACACTGGATGATGCAACAATAAAGGTTTTATCCAAAGGACTAAATTACGCTATAACTCCACGCAGATTACCGTACGAAGAAATTATCTGTAGTGTCGAGGACTGTTTATTTAAAAACAATATGCGGAAAGAAGATTTGGAGGCGATACGTCAAGACAATGGGTGCGTTTAGCAGAAAAAAGCGCTAGCAAGCGCTTATAAGCGCTAAAATAGTTTTCTTCCAGGACACAATTGCTACTTCAGTAGCGCTGACACAATCCGCCATTTTGCTTATTTAATTTGTTTGTTTTGAAGTAGAGTTTATAAGTTGTTTTGTGCAATATTAGTTTTAAGTAATATAATGACATGAATAAACATATACATGCTATTAAAAACTCATGATTGGTAAGTTTTTAATATGAATACTTTACAAACATATATTTAAATTAGGTTAGATTCCCCGGTTAAAACTAACATCGTGTCCTGGAGGAAAATAGCTACTTACGATTTGACAGCGCTTACCGCTTACGATCGCCATTTTGCTTACAAGCGCTTGCTAGCGCTTTTTTCTGCCGAACGCACCCATTTCGTCTATGTTACGTCGATGTTCAGTGCCTAAACCGAATCTTCCCAGAGACGAATTTATAGCGTTAAAGAATCTACGCAATAAACCAGAACTTACGATTCTCCGCGCAGATAAGGGAAACGCCTAAAGTTGGGCGGTGGGTTTTTGTCTTTTCTGCCCAATGGGTTTTAATCGGGCAGGAAGGATTTAAATCAGGCAGAAATGGATTTCTGCCCATTTTGGCGGGCATAAATGAAAATTACTAGAAATTATTTTTTTATTTGCAAAACCTTATTTGGAAAATATTAAATGAGTAGAACACGATAAAAAATACACATGCATACTTAAGTCGGGTTCGACTTCAATTCTCGCTTTTAGTACTTTAAACTTTCTTTGCTTAATTATGAATTGCAAAAAGGCAGAAACGAAAATGCTGAGATTGTTTTATTATGTGAGTAACCAATTTACCTACAGTCTGTAGATAATGTCAGTGTACGGATACCTAAATTGAATACCTAATAGTTCAGCTACATTCGCAGCTCGCGTGGTCGCCTCCGAAGCAGGGATTTTTGGCATGCATGAGTACGCGAGGCGAGCTGCGCGCGCGCGCCTTTTCGCCTCGCGATCGCGACTTACTGGAATATCTTTCTTTTTCTATCGCTTCGCTTGAAAGGAGTCACCATGCAAAGATAAACATACATAAAAGGAAGTACTTTAGACGAAAGACTGTGATATTTTGTATTTGAAGAAAATAAGTAGATGGTTGGGTAAAATTTTGTTGATATTAAATAAAAAACAAAACGTAGTATTGATTAATGAATATTTATTATTATTACTGTTCATTTATGTTGCAAAAATTAGATAAGAACACATTTCTTTACAGTATCAAACTTAAAAAATAATCATAATAACTTAATATAATTTACGTGTAAGTCAAAAGAAAAGAAATAGACTCAGTCATCGCTGTTACTCGAATCTGAAATTTGACCACAATCTAAAAATTCGATGGTGGCAGTGCCTGAGGTCGATGTTTGAGGCGAGTCAAAAGTGTCCATTGAACTATCCGTTCGATGTACATGTGTGCCTATAGTCGGAGGTGTAACAACATGCATTCCTCTCATCATCTTTTTTCAAATCGCTCTTATTGAGCAAATTCCAATTGTAGGATATGAAGGCAATTTTGGCTGCTCTCTCACTCGTCAGCCGGTTTCTTTTTTATTGTGAATGTGGCTGTGTGTAGAAAATGGCCGTTCAACTGCAGAAGTGCAAGGTGCTATGAGGATTCGCACAGCCACTTTGCATAACGCAGTAGACGCGCATAAGCCGCTCCACCAAGTTGTTGGTTTTATTTCCTTTACATTTACCCATAAAAATCTTCGGCTCCAAAAGTCCGATCTTGGTCTGTAGGACGCTAAATTTGGAGTCACGGTTAATCCAATGCTTTGTTCTACCTCGGAAATGAATCCCATAGCTTCTAAATTTTGATTCTGATAAAGCTCTGCTCCTTGTTCAGCAGGGTCTAATAAGTATGCCGCATAATGTATGGGCTTGAGGCACATTTGAATTCTCTGATCAACATTCTCTGGAATCTTATCTTTAACGTCATTTTCAACTATTATTACTTCTGGCAAACAGAAAAGTAACTTAGATTTCATGTTTTTTAAAGTTAAAACAACTTTGTGCAAGTTATTGTCATTGGATTCTAGACGTATTATAGCCTCTGTAATGGGTTCCAGTATCTGGCGGCATTGCTTCAACATTGTCCAAAAATCTTCATCTAATACTGTTGATTTATCTTCCGGAGGTAAGTTTGTGGCTTTTTCGTGGACACCCAATATTTGAAGGGCCACTTTAGTGTTTGTCCATGCTTTTAAAACATAAACAATGAAATAATACTAGTTTTTACGGAATTTATCGCGTATATTTTAACTTTTTAAATACCCGACGTTTCGAATGCTTTACAGCACTCATGGTCACGGGCAGGACTGAGATGTTCAACGTCCATATGTCATAGTTAACCGCGGTTATCATAGGTTAAAATTTAACTTTTTTTTTAATCTATGGTAACCGCGATTAACTATGACATATGGACGTTGAACATCTCAGTCCTGCCCGTGACCATGAGTGCTGTAAAGCATTCGAAACGTCGGGTATTTAAAAAGTTAAAATATACGCGATAAATTCCGTAAAAACTAGTATTATTTCAATGTGTAGTGTTCGCGTAAATATAAGAAATCATTACATAAACAATGACTTCCCCAACGGGTATCGCGGGTTTATTTTAAACTTTCGCCAACTTTTTTTTCTTTCACGATTTTTGCCAGTAAAGATGTTAGGACTTGACTTTGTCAAATAGTTTTTATTATGTTTGTAGCCGTATCATTGAAAGCATTTAACATATTGATTTTCATAATATTTTTACATAGCAAATGAAGCGTGTGAGCACTGCAGTTGAGTCCTACTATGTGAGGATGATTTTCTTCGACAAGACGGAATGTCCTCAGCACATTACTCGCGTTGTCACCAATTAGGGCGGCAAATTTGTGTGAACCATTTAGGACGTCCGAAATTATATTGTAAATATATTCGCCTGTGTGCCGATGATCCTCTGAGGCTATACTCTTAATAAATATGGGTTCCGACTTTGATATTAAGATATTAATAACACCTTCATTCCTGCAATTTGACCAGCCATCCAGAAGCAAATGCAAACACTTTTGGGTCATCAAGTCTTCCTTCAGTTCACGGTGCACGCTGTTATACGTTTTTTCTAAAATGGTCGTAGAAATTGTTTTTCTTGACGGCAACTTGTACTATGGCTGAAGATTTTCGAAGAAATTTATCCAAAGACGATGCTCGACCATTGAAAGTGGTGTTTCGGTAACATATACAGTTTTAGCTAGTAATGTATGCAGGTTTTCCTTAATTCCATCTGACAGCGGTGTTTGTGGCAACTCTGTAGAGTTCTGAGCATTCTCAGTTCAGATCCAGTGGCTCTTATCTGCCTATTGCACTCCTCAGGACAGTTGATGCATTTTTGCCAAATGCGCTCTACGATAATGCTTCTCGCAACATTTGCAATAGGTCCATCTAGACTTGGGTAGTTTTTGGTCTCCCCACCATGATTATCTAAAACAAATTTAAGATACTTAATGCTGAGTATAAAATTATCGTCAATGCTTTTACTGGTAAGTGTTCGATTCTGAATTTGAATCATACTTTATTTTATTTAGTTGAAAACAAAAATCGTCAGTATTATAAATTATAGAACATTTTATATTTACAACTTTTATTACGAAGACAAAACTAGTTAAAACCGAGGTATGCGGGATCACATCACAATAAACAATGCCAGGTCGTTTGTTAACTCACTTCACAATAAAAACAAATTGACAGAGAAACAGAGTACTCAAGTGAACGGGTAGAGAACCGTGGTGTGATAACGAATGTCGCCCCACACCCCTTGCCCCGCGTTCGCACACACAATATTAAAAGCTGCCATGCCGCACACAACCAGTTTTCGGTGACGAAGTAATTTTTTCCCTTTTTTTTATTGTTTAGTAATCTCTACGTGATTTTTTATGTACAAACATTTAAATTAAGTTCGTATTTCACCTTGCTGTAGCTTCTTTTGTCATCGATTAAACAGCACTGAGTGTAGAGAACAAATTAATTTAATTTCTGCCCGGCATTTATTAAAAACGCCCGGCGTTTATTGCACTGAAATGGGTTTTAATCCAGCGATGGATTTTGATCCGGGCATTTACACATCCCTAGAAACGCCACGGTAGTCATGGATACGTCAGATTATAATTCTAAAATACAAGAACTTTTGTCGGATGTAAGTACTTATAAAAAGGTTAAAAACGACCCAACAAATAGCACACTAAAAACAACTAGTGACCTCATAAAGAAACACTCCGAAAAATTAAATCTGGACGTAAAATGGATAATACCTACGTGCGCCAAATCACCAAAGTTGTATGGGTTACCAAAAATACACAAGCCCAATGCTCCATTACGCCCCATAGTGAGCCAAATCGATTCACCAACTTACAGATTGGCTCAACACTTAGCGAAAATACTCTCACCGCTCAGGGGACATACAAGAGCACACATAAAGGATTCCTACCATTTTGTCAGCGAGATTAAAGACCTACGTCTGGCAGACAATGAAACTATGGTCAGTTTTGATGTGCAGTCATTGTTTACATGCTTACCTGTTGAAGACTGCATCTCAATTGTAACTAGAAGGCTGGAAGAAAACAACATGCCCGTAGAATATGCAGTATTACTCAGACACTGCCTTACATCTGGCTACCTATTGTGGAAGGAGTTCTACAAGCAAGTAGATGGTGTGGCGATGGGCTCACCTGTATCTCCCATTGTCGCCGACATATTCATGGAAGACTTTGAGGAGAAAGCCCTGCTTACTTCTCCCATAAATCCAAGTTTCTACAAGCGGTACGTAGACGACACTTTCACAATTCTACCTTTAGATAAAGTAACTGCATTTTTAGACCATCTTAACTCTATAAATTCTAAAATTCAGTTCACAATGGAGTTAGAGGCAAACAATTCCTTAGCTTTTCTAGATGTGTTAGTAATTCGGAATCCTGATAACACCTTGAGCCATACTGTGTATAGAAAAAAGACCCATACAGATAGATATTTAAACGGTGATTCTCACCACCATCCTTCACAGTTAGCTACCGTGGGTAAATCTTTGTTTCAGAGAGCACGAGGGATCTGTGACAGTAAACACCTGGCTGCCGAGCTCCAACATGTCAAGCAAGTTTTGCATGACAACAAGCTTCGGGTCCCGCGCCTACGTCACAGAGAACGAGTGAAGCCGGCCACAGTCGAGCGTGTACCTGCTGTACTGCCATATGTTAGAGGAGTCACTGACAAGATTGGCTACATCTTGAAGCGCGCTTCCATCAAAACATACTTCAAGCCGCCGAAGAAGATTGGTCAGTTTTTACCATCAGTCAAGTGTAACGTCCCTCTGCAAGATGCAGGGGTGTACAAGCTTGATTGTGAATGTGGTCTCTCCTACATAGGACAAACTAAAAGATCCATTAAAACCCGCGTCAAAGAACATATAGCTGATGTGAAGAATCGACGCTCCGGGAAGTCTGCAGTCTGTGAACATGTACAGGATCGCCCCCGTCACTACATCAGATTTGATAGACCACAAATCCTCGCTAAAGAACACCGATTCCTTCCAAGGATGATTCGCGAGGCTATTGAAATCAAAAAACATCCTAATTTCAATAGAGAAGATGGCTGGGTGCTACCATCTGCTTGGGATCCTATAATAAATAAAATTAAATCCCAACCCAAGCATACAACTGCAAGACTCCATGATACCATAAGTTCATACTGTGTAGATCGGAACAAAAGTTAAATTTTAATCTATGGTAACCGCGGTTAACTATGACAGCTGGACGTTGAACATCTCGTCCTTCCCGTGACCATGGGTGCTGTAAAGCTCTCGACACGTCGGGTAATTAAAAAGGTAAATATACGCGATAAATTCCGTAATAACTAGTATTAGTTCAATGTGTAGTGTTCGCTTTTGTTTTTGTAAATTTGCTACAATAATAATGATAATAATAATCCGAAAAAGATAAGAAAACAAAATATTTGGCCTGGCTCACGAGGTGACCGACACGTGGGGTGGTCTGCCGACCGAAATTAGTCCTGTAGTCGTCACCGCGAACGGACTAATCCCGGTCAGCCTCTCGGGTAATCTGAGGCGACTGGGACTCCATGACCGATCGCTCCGGGCTCAAATGCAGAAGGCGGTGCTCCTCGATACCGCCCGCATTGTCCGCTGGTTTCATTCCCTTTCCCCCTAACCATCGGCCGTTTGGTCTCCATTGACAAGGACTTCCATCTGGTTGGACTTTTATTTATTTATGCGAGTATGTTTAATATATATTTATGTATATTTATTTATTATATTCTTTTATATATTTATTGAGCCCAACCAGATGAGAATACTTTATAAATACCGCAAACAATAATAATAATGGGATAGGCCCATGTCAAGCAGTGAACTTAAAACTGATGATGATGATAAAGATGATGAAGTGAACTACTTCAGTAATTATAAATGACAGATCATCTTCATTAATAGTCTGTCAGTCTACGGCTAGGCATGCAGCTTCAACTCTCGCAGAGAACATTTACTGTAATGGCCATGCTTCATTGAAATGGACCTTTGACACCGCTACACATCTTCGATCTTACACGACCATCCATCAGAGGCTACAAGATCTATCCAGCATCTGTCAGAGAGTACATAATCTTTATGACTTTTCAAATCCTCAGTAGGCTCTTACGACACCACATGAGTAGGGGGAGGGGAAGGACAGATTCTCTTTGCCAACACCACTTAAAGTGTTTTTACAGTATGTTTTAAAAGAATTAAATTAGGATATTATTATTATATTTTCCTAATATCAACACCGTCGGATGTAATAAAGTAACACTACATACCTAATGATGGCATGAAATCTCTCTCCTTGGTGCGACATGCTACTAGGTTATCAGGGCACAGATTCCATAATTTGGTCAACTCATTACTGTAAGAATTAAAATGTACAAGATTAAAAAGAAAAGTTTTATATATATCCAAGAGTAGTCAACTACTGCCTCATATAATTGTGGTAAGAGGATGGGAGATGGGCAGCCGCATCTTCCTCATAAGAGCTCAAAGTAATAAAGAACTATGGTTGCTAACCTGCCTGCATAGTGTGTCAACTATGGCAAAATCCTCCCTTTGAGGCAATCTGGAGGAGATTGATGTATGGTTGGAATGGATTAGGTGTCTTAGCAGTTTTAACATAAATATCCTCGCTATGAGGCAATCTATGGAGGAGATTGATGTATGGATCGAATGGATTAGGTGTCTTAGCAGTTTTATCATAAATATCCTCCTTATGAGACAATCTACTGGGACAGTCTGTGTTCAACATTAAACTTTTGATAGGCTGTAATGAAATTAAATAATGAATTATAGTCAATGTTGCTCAGTGTAGAGGAAAATACAATGAGGATTACTGAAAATTTAATGAGAGTGCACCGCACTGGGGGGCTTGGCACAAAACTAGCTAAAAAAAGGCTTGTGCTCAGTATTAGGATATTTATAAATGTTTACATTAATTTTTTAACAAACTAATTACTTCATTTATACATAATTACTAGACTGATTTATGTATATGAAATAAATAATGAGGTGTGCCAGGATTGTGACAAGTGAAAGTCCATAATCTCAGCCTACCCCTTTGGGTGTAAGGAAATTATAAGTAAAAAGGTGTAGATAGGTTACCTACACAACATTCGATCTTCAAAAACGGCACACTAACACATAAATAACTAAATATTGCAATAGCACAATACATTACCATTAGACGTCAAAGTAGGATAGCATGATTAAACTATTGCAAGTCACTGACCTCTATATATACAAGTACGCTGGACTGGCTATACCATACAAAATGACTGTGCCAATTTGAAGCGCCGCTAAAGGATGTCTTGAAAAATAAAATTGACATAATATGCCAAAGTCTGTTGTCTTATTTATATTGTCATATTTAAAAAAATCTGTACTTTGAACTTTTAAACTAAAAAACTAAAGTATTTTATGTTGTTTGATTGTGTATAATAATAGTTACATAATAAGAATTATTTTTATTAATAATGAGAGTGTGCGTAATCTGTAAAACTCGTTACCAAAAGTGAAGTGGTGTAACATTTCACAAGTAAGTGAATTTGCAGCCAATATTAAATAAATAAAAACTATTTGATAATATAAGTACTTAAAAATTTGTTACTAATCTTAATATCATTTATACCAACATGTTTGGCTGTATATTACTGAGTTTTGATAAACAATAAAATTCAATAGTGTTCTCGATTCATTGTCTATAATACTTAACGATGTTCTTTCCTACCCATATCTGTTAACAAATAAAGTCGCCAACAATAGATGATTATCAAATTTTTATTAATTAACAGGTTTCCAAATGAACCTAGACTCAAATTATGGCTTAAAAGCATAAATATTGTGAATTGGGGTACAAAACAAAATGATCATATTTGTTCCAAACATTTCACAGACGATTGTTTTATTAGGCATGAGAACTGCTCCACTTTAAAAAAGTGCAGTATACCGACAATATTTTGTGGTAGTACCAGTACCAGTAAGTATAAAAGTACCGGTACCAGTAAGTATAAAAGTACCAGTACCAGTAAGTATATACGCGATAAATTCCGTAAAAACTAGTATTATTTCAAGTATAAAAGTATTAGATTATTATTTAGAATATTTTTATTTCTTCCACCAAATTCAAGGGCCATAGCCAAGTGTCGAAAGGTCGCCTGATGATGTCGAGCCACGTTGGATGTGTGTTAGTGGGCTGCGGCTAGAGGAGATTCCTCTCCCTGTACCGCTGTAGTCGAGGTGGAGTAGTAAGGGAAGAGGAATGTTGGTAAGGCAATTGGCGATACGCCACTCGACTATCTTTCGCGACTTTGGTGAGACTGCACCACTTGATGCTTCCAAGTGCTCGTTTTTCCCTGGCTCCATTCACATATCGGGCTCGGGGAGTCCGTAGTGAAGGTGGAGTTAGAGGCCGCGAAGGGCAGTGTGGCTTGTGTTTCTGGTGCGCCTTATCTGAGAATGAAATCGGGGAGGAGAAGTCAGCAACTAAGGAGGGGATGCCATTGGGCAGCTGGTGCCAGAGGGGCCGCGGATGTGCATGAAAGCATTTCCGTAGCCCTGCTCATTTGCGGCGGAGGCAGAACACCATGGGGTTTTAGTAAGTGCGATCTAGAGATTTAATTCTCTCTCAATTGCAGGCATGTAATAGTATGAGTACATATTTGTGCTATTTGCTGTAGAGACTATTGGTCCGTAGGGTGCACGTGCTGTGTAGTTCCTAAAAAAATGTATCTGCGACTGATCATCGCTACTTGTAATAAGAAGTAGTTTAGTTTGTTACTTCCTTGCTTGAAGGCTAAGCTAAATGTCTCAAGAATGCTGGCTACGTGTCATCTCTGAATGGCTATACCATTCAGAGATGACACGTAGCCAGCATTCTTGAGACGATACCACGGAAAGTAGGACTGTATAATAATTTCAGTTATTTTTTTTAATATTGTAATTTAATTTTGAAAATAACGCTGTAAATAACTGAGAACTATGCAATTCAAAGTTTATATATATATATATATTTTAATATTATCTAGCTCGTACCCGGCGCATTGCTGCCGCAGAAGAAATAATTGTGAAAATATTGTTAAAAATGTGGAAAGTTGTATTGTATAATTAGGAATGATAATAAAATCATTGAAATAGAATTATATATAACTTTCAAATAAATAGTCAGTGTAATACGCACGCCACCTAGTGTCAATTAAATGCACCATGCGTATAACCTTCGCACAAGTGCAACCAATAGGTTGACTAAGTTTTACCGCAATCTGATGAACGGTATTGCATCCTAGAAAGTATGAACAAACCTAAATTTTTATATAGTAGAAAATATTTTACTGTCTATATACAGACTTGTAGTTAATTAGAATAAGCGTAATTATAGCAGCTGATTTGTTTTTCTTTATAATACTAGAACTAACGCTTGACAACAAATTATTTTAGAAACTATGTTTTTTTATTTTGTGTACTTAGTTTAATCTTAATAATTTTTTGTTGAATGGTCTAAGGGCTACGATGGCTATCCGAGTACAGAACCAAAGTATAAAACTAATCCAACTGTAGAGATGTGTAAGACATGGTGACGTGATATCCCTGAAATATTTTACTGCTGTATTGGAAGACGTCTTCAAGCTACTGGACTGGAAAGGATACGGTATTAACGTCAATGGCGTGTACGTCACTCACCTTCGATTTGTCGACAATATAGTCATTATGGCAGAATCGCTGGAGGACCTAAGCACTATATTCAATGACCTCAATAGTGTCTCCCAATGAATAGGTCTTAAGATGAACATGGACAAAACAAAAGTCATGTGTAATATCCATGTCACACCTTTGCCGGTGGTTTTTGGGAGCACTTAGCTGAAGTTGTTGACGAGTATTTTTTTCGGGACAAATAGTCCGACTAGGTAAGTTCAACTTCGACCGATAGGTCAATCGACGGATTCAACTCGGCTGGGCAGCGTTCGGGAGATTACAACACATCTTCTCGTCAGGAATACCTCAAAACTAGATTGTACAACAAGTCCGTGTTGCCTGTGATGACTTATGGATCTGAGACGAGGTCTTTGACTGCTGGCTGTATGAGGAAGCTTGAAGTCATTCAGCGAGCTATGAAGAGGGCTATGCTCAGGGGTTCAAACTTAGGAATGAGGATATCTGCAGCAGAACCAGAGTGATCGACATCGACCAATGGATTAGTAAGCTGAAGTGGCAATTGACCGGCCATATAGCTCGAAGAACCGAATACCGATGGGGCAAAAAAGGTTCTCGAGTGGCAGCCTCGTACCGGCAGGTGAAGTGTAGGACGTTCCCCCACTAGATGGAGTCAAAACTCGGTAAGACATGCAGGAAGTTGATGGATGCAGGTAGCTCAGGACCGTGCTTTGTGGCATTCCTTGGGGGAGGCCTATGTTCAGCAGTGGACTTGTGAAGGGTTTTAATGATGATGAATGATAATTGCATTATATTAATATGATATGATAAATAGTATGGACGTTACGGGTAGAGTCCATCTATCCATAGAGTCCATTCTATTTATTTAGGTATAGGTAGGGTATAGAATTTTTATCGATATAATTTGGTACACTGTGTTATCACTATTATTAGTTCCGTGGACGTGCACTTCTGCTATCAGCGCCAAAATGGCGGAAATCAAATCGCTTCGTCATGTCACGGTGTATAGCCAGTCCAGCGTAATTGTAATAGAGGTCAGTGATTGCAAGTGTAAAAAAGACAAATGTAATTTGCGACAGTGCGTGGTCTTATGTAGTAGGAACGATGTAGAATAATTAATCAGATATGACATTATACCGTACACTGATTTATGCCTACAAATGCGATTCACTCATGAGTTCACGTAGTAAAAGTAATAAAAATGCATTAAAAGGAGGAAAATAAAAAAAAATATAATTGATTTTATTAAAAATTTTATATGAAATAGTGCTGTAACAATTATATACGTACGTATACACCACTTCGTTACGCCACAAAACAAATAAATTGAATTTACAATTAATGACATAGTTAATTTACCCTTCCTTAAAACAAGAAATTATATGTATAACATTTGAATTGACGATACTCACAAGAGATCTATCTGTTTTTTATATTCTTTGATCAGAAACAATATCACTTCTCTTTCACTCACTCATTTGCGTATTTTTATCCCTCTCGATTTTTTCTGACAATATATTTTAAAATACCTAATTTTTGAATTCGTAACAAATACGAAAATTAATTAAGGAAATAGTAAACGAATGAAATTTCTGCAAAATCTCATCACACACGACGGCATTTTCGGTGCAAAAACAAAACCCAAATTATTTTCAACGCCGTTGTCAATGACGCGATGATAGCGCGACAACTGAACTCAGGTTTGCTAATTAGCATAGTTTTAACGTTCCAATTGCGGTACGCGTATAACCTTCTACCTCTTTTTCTTATAATATCATTGGTGTAAGGCATGAGAGTTTATGTAAAGTAAAATATTTACATACTTGCCCATGTAGAATTTGTCTTGAGCTTCATATTCTTTAATTATGTCGCCCACAGGTTTCCTTCGCTTCCTTGACTTCTTTACTTCTTCTGTGGAATCCACTGCCACTGGTGGTTTGGGTTTCTTAAATTCTAGAACATTATATAATTGATTAAGGCAGAGTTGTTATGAAGTGACTGTATGCATTACTACTATAGCTTTACTTTTTCATTTGCGGGATAGGCAGGCCAGATCTTTCTTACTTATTTTTTAGTTGGTAGTTTTTGTAGACCTCATTCAAAGTAGGCATTCATACAATCATATAGCCTTATACATTTTCATTCATCACACTCTTGGTTTACGCGGGCGACCGGACGGGTACATGAATTAGTTACGATCATATATGTATATCTTAGGGTCGCACTGCCAGGAATATATAGATAGATAGTCCACTATGATCATCTTTGTAATAACTTGGCATGTGAATGATTTGATGTAAATTATATTTGTGGCCGTGGAAAGAAAAGAGGGATCTCCCGCCGGGCAAGGTGTTCTGCCCAGGGAGCGGCCAACGCTACGTGTGATAGTTTGGAGCTATTCTATATATACTGTTTTACTTCGGAACTTTGACAGTGCAATTTAGGCTTCGATGCTCATACGATATTGCAGTCCGATTGCCGGTGCGTCCTTAATGCCGGTAGGGAATATTTGCTGTGTGCATAAGGGCAAGATATGCCGATGTGTATTGCATGCCGTACTACGCACTTGCAAGTGATGCCGGTAAGTACGATGTGCCGGAGCAAGTGCCAGAAGTCTGTCTTATAAATCCGCGGTGAGTCGAGATGAAGACAAGTAGGACTGGCTTGCAGGAACTGAAGACTACAGAAGACTATTCTCAGGAGCGAATGGTAGGGGTTCTTGAGGATAATGACGAAGGTTTGAAGTTGTAGTATCAGAAGGTTGTTGGTTGTGTGTCCATATCACGTCGGGTGGTCACCACTGTGGGTGTTGAAAGAAAAGGGGAGATCTCCTTCCATAACTGGTGACCCTGAGTAGAACACTTAAGAAAGATGAGTAGTGACGGTAGTGACACAACGCATTCACGCAAAAAAAAATCGCAAAACGAGAGTGTGTGTCCATTGGCTCGCACGATAATTCATCCGACGTATTTCGTGTTGGCATGAGAATACCACTGTTTTGGCCTGAAAAACCGACGATATGGTTTTCGCAAATTAAAGACTATATATAATAATACAATACAAAAGATAGATAGATAGATAGATAAAACGTTTATTTGTATCTCCAATCACACACGTAAATTCAGTGATTAAACTAGATATACAATCAAAGTATTATGGAAAAAAATATACATAAACTTATGATCTAAATATACATGTGTGTAACAGTTAAACAAATGGGTCCATAGCTCAGCGATTAATATTGCTCAGAGAGCAAACACTGATTTTCAGCTATTACCCTCTAGGTGGCGAGAAGAAAATGAGCACAATAGTACAATCAGAAAGAAATAAGGAAAAAACTAATTTTTTTGCACGTTAATATTATTGTAGTGTAATTATGTCTGAAAGATGTGTCCTATCAGCTCTATGATTTATATGTTGGGTTTAATTTAGTAAAAAATTACAGAAAAGATGTGTAAGACTGCGTACCCAATTAAGGCTAGTACCTAAATGACTTAGCCAACCATGAGTTAGTAAAAGTAAAAAGAAAAAGAATATGCCATAGTTTATAGCTGGCAAACGAAGTGTTTGGGAATAGCTTGTTTTTGTTTATCTAGAAGATATGTTTTGAATTTATTTTTAAACTTGTAGTTGGTGTTAAGATTTCTTATTGGTGGTGGGATGTTATTCCAACACTTCGTTTGCCATATATCGGAAACTGCCAGTAAATGCCGCTATTTTATGGCTGTAATATAGGAGTGCTGATCTTATGGATCTCAATTGTTTTCCAGAATTTGCTTGCTTAGCAAACTTTATCTTTGCATGCAAGTACTCTAGTTTCTTAATAATACTAAAGACTAGTCCCTCTAAATGTATCTCTCTACGTGAGTCCATATTGAGCATGGAAGCATTGTTCAGAAAGGGTGTAATGTGATTTCTGGGAGGTACATCAAAACAGAACCAACAACATGCATTTTGCACGCGTTGTATTAGTCGTTTTGTTTTGCTGAAAATCCAGGGTCCATAAACAACATCCCCATAGTTGAGCCTAGACAAAACCAATGACTCGCAAAGAGTAATACATAGTTAAGAGAAAAGTACATCCTGCTACTACTGCTTGATGACAGAAATGGATAAGATGTTCACACCAATTTAAAAGAATTTCTTTTGATAATTTTGTAAAGATTTTTTTTAAAAAAGAAGAGGCATAGATTGACTTTATCTTTACCAGGACACCCATCATTTTTCCAGCTATTCCAATGTTCTTCCCTGCGTAATATGCTTTTGACGCATTCCGCGAAACGTTTTCCATCTGGAGGTGTTTCAGCCAACAAACGGTAAACTAATGCTGTTGTCTCTTTAACCCACTCAGTTTGATCTGATTTAAGTTCTTGGGTCTCCCTGTAACAAAAAAATTTTACCTTTTATCTATAAATAATACATAAGATATCAAAACATATCCTTAACTTTGTTCAGTGACATTAATAGAAGCTTGCTATTTCCATTCACTTGACAAACTCATTCAATCCCCAATATTATTATGACATCTAAAATATTTTTTAGTAACTCAAAGGTCTGGGCAACCTGCCCAGACCAGCAATGGACAGCAACAACAGATGTCTGAAACATCTGGCACTGTGGTTGGCAGTCCACCTGCCAAGCTTCACAATTAAGGCAAAACCTCCCTGCAATAGGAGGGGCCCTTTTTTAACAGTGAACTTTTTACAGGCCAAGAAACATATAAAAGACATTTTCTTGATAAGTGGTATGGTAATTGAAGTAATATGTACGACATACTAGAAGAGGTGTGCAGACTTGGTTATTTGCAACACCTATTAGAGCCAATGGGTTCAAACTTAGTTTGTGCCTTAAGAAGTTACACTGTGCCTCTGATCACACGTCCCATACTACCGCACAGATTTTGTTTGCTGCGTCTGTTCTATATGTCTGCGGTGCCAGGAGTGATCTAGGCTATATTTTGTCCAAAAAAAACTTGAATTTTGTTTGGAGAAATCATTTTTTTTTTAAATAAATACAATGATGTGTCTTACCTGGATTGAAGAGCACCTCCCGCTCTCCCTCAATTTCATGCACTAACTCTGTCACCACTAGTCAGAGCACCACTACTCCCAACACCACTATTCCAGGTAAGACACACCATCAACGATAATACGACACGTGTTTCGCCTCTACATGAGGCATCTTCAGGTAATGTAGACTCTACGGCAGCTGACCGCTAAGATATATTAGCTAAGATTGTAATCTTATAATTTGAAATTGTAATCTTAAGATTCTATCAATTTATTTCAAAGTAAACTGCTTTGATGATTATCTAAATCAAAATAATATTATATTAATATATCCTAGGTAAAGTTGCCCATAGTAAAATAAAACTTTATAGTTGATACAAATACTCACATTTTAAATTTAACAGCTGATGTTAAATATTGAAACAATATCAAAAACTGTATGAGGACACATCTTCTGAAGTTAGAATCTGATAATTGCAATTCAAGGAGTTTCTGATTGGTTAAGAACTTGGCAAAGTAGTGCTGTTCCTTATTAGATCCTTGCATATCAACATCAGAATTGACAGGCTTCAGCCTATTTAGGTTAGACTTTTGTAGTTCCACAGCTTCTAATTTGTAAGACGAGAATGCCGAGAGTACACTACCTGAATGCTAAAATATTAATAAAATTCAGAATATGAGTTTGTAGATATATGTAAGAGTTGTAAGAGAATTCATGATACCTATGATGGATATTATAGTAATAAGCTTTTTTGTTAGGAATATTAAACGGTAATCTGAGAATTGAATAGACATATCAAACACTGAATGAAACAAAACAGTATTTCAGAGGATTGATGTAGCAATTAAGTTAAATTTCTTTACAGTTACAGTTTCAAACTCCGCTAACCTAAAAATATTTGTTGGTATTTTTGTATTTCGCTGTGAAGTGGCATCATAAGAGAGCCTTTTCACCATATCCTGTGGATGTCCTAAGAGGGACGAAGGGAGATGGGCAGCAGCTTCTTAACAATGCAAAACTCAAAATATAAACTATAGTTGCTAATCTGCAGCAGCATGGCAATCTATGAGGCCTATTCTATGAATCAGTTCAGCTTTGGACTTTTGTTGGGCTGTAATGATGATAATAATTTTGTATGTAGTATATATTCTTAACCTCAATGGTGTCTCCCAACGCATAGGTCTTAAGATGAACATGGACAAAACAAAGATCATGTTTTAATGTCCATGTCACACCTATACCGGTAGTTGTTGGGAGCACTATGCTTGAAGTTGTTGATGAGTACGTTTACCTGGGACAAATAGTCCAACTAGGTAAGTCCAACTTCGACCGAGAGGTCAATCGACGGATTCAACTCGGCTGGGCAGCGTTCGGGAAATTACGAGACATCTTCTCGTCAGGTATACCTCAATCTCTGAAAACTAAAGTGTATAACCAGTGCGTGTTGCCAGTGATGACTTACGGATCTGAGACGTGGTCCTTCACTGCTGGCCGTATGAGGACGCTCAAGGTCGCTCAGCGAGCTATGGAGAGGGATATGCTCGGAGTTTCTCTGCGTGATAGGCTCAGAAATGAGGATATCCGCAGTAAAACCAGAGTGACCGACATAGCCCAACGGATTAGTAAGCTAAAGTGGCAATGGGCCGGCCATATAGCTCGAAGAACCGATAACCTGATGGGGAAGAAAGGTTCTCGAGTGGTAGCCTCGTACCGGTAGGCGTAGTGTGGGCGACCCCCCACTAGATGGAGTGACGACCTGTTAAGACATGCAGGAAGTCGATGGATGCAGGTGGCTTAGGACCGTGCTTTGTGGCGTTACTTGGGGGAGGCCTATGTTCAGCAGTGGACTTGTGAAGGGCTGTAATGATGATGATGATATGATATATTCTTAATTTGTATTAGTGAAAAATGAGCGTAATATTTCTCATATGTCTTTCATATAAAGGGGTGTGAGCCATGGTAGCTTCAGGATAAGTGATTGCCTCAAAATTTGAAATATGAACGCACCAATTTAATACCTTCACGTACCACTGAGTTTTAGCTGAAATTTAAATTGGTGCTAGTTTATCACATGCTTAATGGTGAAGGAAAACTTTAAGGAAACCTGCATATCTGTAAAATCAGAAACCATTTCAAGGACTTGTGTAATCTGCTTACATGCATTATGGCACCACTGCAGACTTGTTCCTTTTTACTGATAACAGATGATTTAAGCCTCATTAAAGATAATCAACTTGATACAGTTGTGGCTAAATGAGTTGAATATCTAATATAATAACTTTATTTATGCCTCAAAGGTCCCACAAAAAGAAAATAATTGTGCCTATAATTGGCATATTTATTTGTTATTGTTGGCTCTTTTAACAAGTCAAAGTTTAAATTAAAAAATGGAGTGTCTAATCACCTGTGAATCAGGTGACTTTTTATTCATTCCAATCGTGCAATATCAGTAACAGTATGTTGAGGTGCGGCTAGGGTGGCCCTTAGGTATATATTAGATTGATATAATCGTTAACCATAAATTAATTAATAGATAATATTGAAAGAATTGATTTTAAATTAATACTGGCACCATCTCACAGTTGTTGAAAACATTATTTGAACTGTGGTCTCCATAAGCAGATGAATAAAATAATTTAGTTGTATGATTAGCATATGACTAGCATTGTCCTAAAAAATTTACTTACAGCTACAAAAGTCTTCCACTGAATTTTATTGTAACATGTGTTTGGGTTTCTGAAGAAGTCTTGTAGACTCCAAAAACGGCAATACAAGTTATAATCTATAGACAATTTAGTTTTTTCACCATCAACTACCATTTCTTCATCTAGGGAGTCTTTCAAAGTACTTGAATTATCTCCTCCAAATTCTGTGATATTTTCTAAGTTAAATTCAGAAACAATATTTAGCCCCGATCTCTCAGAGAATGGGAAAAACTTTGCTAAAAATAAAAGAATTCTTCCACAAAATACGGTATTTTGCGAACGCGATAAACGTCGTAACAAATCGTTGCACATTCTAAGCAAGTTGTTTTTGCAAGCAACGAAAAATAACTCTTCTTTCCATATGTTCACCCCATTCTCTACATACGCAAACATTTTTTCGCATTTATTTAACGTTAAGGCATCGAATATATCCCCTAGAAGTACGACTGGCATGGTGGGTGTCACCATATGCCTTCTACACGATTCAATGCAAAAACAAACATAGTTTTCTAAGATGTCTGGATTCTCAACAAGAAGCTCCAAAAGTTTATCTCGAAATGCTTGATCCATAGCAGCTTTGCGATCAACTTCATTAGTATTTCTTGAGAAAGAATCTAAGAGATCAATGTTGTTTGTAGTGAATGCTTTAGACAATACATCCTGAAAAATAAAAGTTTCATGTAATAAATACAGGCAACTCTCGTTACCTAATTCAAACCTTCAATAATTTAAGCTTTCTTTTCTCTCAAAAATTTCGAACTATTTGATATTTCAAACACTCAATAATTCGTAATATTTTAAGAGTCCCTTGAGTTTCGAATTAACAAGAGTCGGCTGTAGCATAAAAATATTAAACAAATTGAAAGAGGTTAGACAAATACCTTATACTTCAACCGGAGCTCCTCGAAACCTAATTTTTCTGACATGTTTTAAGTGATTATAATATTATTTGGGTAATTATTTTTAGCACTTTTTCATTATAAGTAATAAAAAGGCTTAATAAAAAATATAATTAATAGTAATAGCTAACTTTTATATAATAGGATAATCATATACACCATACACAGTTGATTATCATAGATTACTGCACAGATAAATAAATATGTAGCAAGCTAGATTACTGGTTGATTATTGTATATACATTATACTGTGTACATTCAGTGTTGCCAGATGCCTTGAACCTTTTATCTGTAGTAGAAACAGCTAAAATCTGTATTTATTACCTTGAGTAGAAGCCTGTGGCACTGATATTTTACAAATAATAAAAATAAAAATGAAAATTTTGAATTAAATAAATAAATTAATTAAAATCTATCGAAATTTAAATCATATCCACTCTACTTTACCAACGGCAATAAAACAATAAATTTATTTGTCATCTTTGACCTTGTCACTTCGCAGGATCACAGGCTAGAAGGGACATTATTTGGATTTCGATAGAATTCATTAATTTATTTTTTTAATTCATTTTTTTTTCGTAAAATATCAGTGCCATAGGTGTCAACATCCAATGTTTTTCCAGACGGTAAAAAAGATTATCCAGTATACATATTTTATCAATATCAATGTATTTTATAATACACTTGTAATGCTCCCATACTAAATAATTAGGTTGTGAAAAAATAAATTAACCATAAAGAATAGAATCATGCAATGATGTGTTTAACGCGGTAATCTGGTCATATATTTTGCTTCGTTCTGTTTTAAGTTGTATATTATGATAATTCAATCAATAGAGTTAAAAACTCTGTATGAAAATCTGTATCCAGTGTTAATCTGTATTACACAACGAAAATCTGTATAAATACGGAGAAATCTGTATATATGGCAACACTGTACATTATTCACCACAGAAACAATATACCTAATATTATAGCGCGCTATCTCTTCATAACGCATAGCGCATGTTATGTAAGTAGTCGCCATGGCGATATGACGCTATGACGCTTTGACGCTATTCATATCAAGTAATGGTGGTTAATATAGCGCATAGCGCCATATTATAGCGCGCTATCTCTTAACACATAGCGCGTGTTGTGTAAGTAGTCGCCATGGCGCTAATGCGCTATGGCGCTTTGGTGCTAATAAGTATTTATATCTAGCTGCAATTAGTTTTAGTTCTAGCAGCAGCGCTGTTGAGAGAGGACGTGTGATGCAAATTTGATCTCGTAGCGCGCTATTCATCGCGCGCGACCTAATTTAATGTTAGACGTTGTTTAGTCAGTGTATACTGTATATTTATAAATGATCAAAGGACACATTTGTGATAAAAGAAGCCTAACTAATGTTTTTAAATGCAAATAAAATATAGATACAAAAGTGTATATAATAGTGTACGTAAATAATTGATTTTTATAAATACAATAAATAAACTTTTAAATACACCTTTATTTGATTTATTATTTATATTATGGTTATAATAATGTTTACATCAATTATAATAAAAATAATTAATATTATTTCGATTCTAAAAATAAAATTAATCCTATTTTAAAAAGTGCACGACTTAAAAATATTTTTAGGATTATAGAAAGTAGTAAACCTGAAAAGTATGAAAAAGCGTGCATTAGTTTTTCCTTACCACTTTATTTAATAATTTTAGTCTAAAATGCGACTTATTACGAAATAATGTTCTTATATAGCACGCGATTTATCCAATGAACAACATGTAATGTAACGTGCTAAGAGATATACCGTGCTGAAAAAATTAACGCGATTACCGGCATCCTCCACGCTTTCTTATAAATAGCGCGCTATAATATAGCGTATTTAATAGCGCGCTAGAAATTTCTAGTTTATAGTCTGTAGTATGCTATTGATTTATAGTCGTTTTGAACAACTTTAATATCAAGCGGCAGTTAGTTCTAGCAGCAGCGCTGTTGGGAGTAGACGTGTGACGCAAATTTAATCTAGCAGCACGCTATTCGATTATAGACGTTATTTAGTTAGTGTATACTATATATTTATAAGTGATCGAAGGACTCGGTTGTCTGCTACAAAAGAAGCCTAACTAATGTTTTAAAATGTAAATAAAATATAGATACAAAATTGTATATAATAGTATTTGTAAATAGTTGATTTTTGTATATACAATCAATAACTTTTAAATACACCTTTAATTGATTTATAATTTATATTAAGGTTAAAATAACATTTACATCGATTATAATAAAAAATGATTAATTTCATTTTGTTTTAGAAAGTACACGCTTAAAAAATATTTTTAGGGTTGTAGGAAGTCTGAAAAGTATGAAAGAGCGTTAATTGATTTTTCTTTACCACTTAATTTTATTTTAATCTAAAATGCGACTTATTACGAAAGAATATTCTTATAAAGCACACGGTCTATCCAATGAACGACATGTAATGTAGCGTGCTCCGAGATATAGCGTGCTGCTAAACTTAACGCGCTTGCCGGCCTCCTACTTTTTTATAAATAGCGCGCTATAACATAGCGTATTTAATAGCGCGCTAGAAATTTCTAGTTTATAGTCTGTAGCGTGCTATTGATTTATAGTCATTTTGAACAACTTTACTCTAAAGGGGATACACCACATAGTACTTAGATACACAGTAATCTTTGGCTGCGTTTGGCAGAAAAAAGCACTAGCAAGCGCTTGTAAGCAAAATGGCGATAGTAAGCGGTAAACGCTGTCAAATCGTAAGTAGCTATTTTCCTCTAGGACACGAAGTTAGTTTTAACCGGGGAACCTCACTTAATTTAAATATATATTTGTAAAGTATTCATATTAAAAACTTACCAATCATGAATTTTTAATAACATGTATATGTTTATTCATGTCATATTACTTAAAACTAATATTGCACAAAACAGCTTATAAACTCTACTTCAAAACAAACAAAGTAAATAAGCAAAATGGCGGAATGTGTCAGCGCTACTGAAGTTAGCAAACCTGTCCTGGCCGAAAACTGTTTAGTTTCGCCATTTTGCTTACAAGCGCTTGCTAGCGCGTTTTTCTGCCAAACGCACCCTGTGAATATTGTTGTCCATTGCTCAATCAATGTTGCCACATTGAATTAGCGTAGGTCCATAGATTACTGTGTATAGTAGGCCTTGAGTCCGACTCATACCCGTTATATAAAACCAGTTGTTCCGCGTCGTGCGCCATTCCGAAGTGATCGTGCCAGTAAATTGAGCTCCGACAAAATGCCGACTTGTAGTGTATTTACATGCAAAAAACAATCAAAACGTCAAATCTATAAAAGAACAACGTGACTTTTCATCAGTGAGTATTTTTAACATAATATTCAAGTAATATTATCATTAAAACTCATACTTTCTGAATATTTTTGTCAAATACCAAGTGTGGCCATCATAAATCATAAAGTGAAAAATAATCTATTTTTAAATAAATATAATTTACTACACAAGTTAATTATATTAACGAAAATGTATTTCCTAACAACTTATCAGTTTGTGATGAATAATAATCATTACATATACATGTGTAGTGGATTTTGTTAAATGAGATATATTCATCTCAATTTTTACATGATTCTGAATATTATATAATTAATATAATCGATAACTATTATTTATCAAAATATTATACAAAATAAAGGCCAAATAAGTCAAACCGAAACTTGCTACCTCGCAGCAAAAGCGTGCAATTTTTATAAAAATAAACTGGCATCACTGTAACCGAAAGTATTGCACTATAGTGATGTGCGCCACAACTTTAGCTATCGATAAGTTAACACCGCGGGTTTGTCTGACGAACCGGTTTTTAGTTTTTATAATAAAGTATTACCAAAAGTAGTAAATTTTTCTATTATTGGTTTGTTTTTACAGACTTCCAAGAGATCCTCGTAGGCAGCAAACATGGATTGCAGCTTGTAGAAACCGTTAATCTTGGATATTTTTTTTAACATGGGGAAAAAATCATATTTCATACCCCACGCTAACAATAATAGAAGGTTAGCCAACACTGCAGTACCAACCTTGAACTTGTGAGAGGTAATGTTTGGCTGTAATTATATTTAGATTAAATATTTTATTATTAACTTTCACAACAATATTATTTCACTTGAAAATATTTTAAAATTTCGATAAATTTATAAAAGCACATTAATCTATCAATATATAATATATATATATATATATATATATATATATATATATATATATATATATATATATATTAGCCCCAACTAGTCCCACTCCCACTGCAAGTACGAGCCAACACTTAGAAGATATGCCAAGGAAAATCAAACTAAAAAATGCCATGACATAAAAAACGCAAAACGGTATTTAAAGAAAAAAGTTACAAGTTTGCAAGAAATACTAGATTCTCCGACAAGAGACATCTTTGATAAATAAATAAAACAAACAGGACAGAAAAGATATGAATTGAAGAAAGCGAACTCTTAAAGAGACAATTACTTTGACAATTACATTGAATAAGTGGTACAGTACCATCGATGGCCGAACAAGGTTTACTTAAAAAGCGCTGACGGCATTAAAATCGAGAGTGGAGAGTAACCCTGATAAAAAATTTATTGTACCTTGGTCATGGATGAAATTAAAATTAAGCTATTGACGGAATACCATGCTAGCAGCTAAAGGCATTATGGCTACGTCGATTACCAGTTCGTAGGTTCGTTTATATCCGATAATTCCGATGAAGCTTCTGACGCATTAGTGTTTTTTGTGACAGAGTGTGGTTGACGATTTTCAAATAAAACTTTAGATCTAATATATAATTAACAGAGTCTCTGCTTAAGGCAATTATGTAACTTACAATGTGATCTAGTCGGCGTCCTGCTTTTGTTTTTATACACGTGTTATGCGGCGGTTCACAATTATTCATAAACGGAAATAGTTTAAAATCACCTACATTATTTATTACATCCGGAATCTTATTCTATACTGTAATTACAAACTTTTATCGTACTTAAATATTTA